TGACACTACCTAGTTGACCAAACCTCGGTAGGCCAACTGGTCTCGAACCCGAGACCCATCGGTTGGAAGCTGCAGGGAAAACCTAAGGCAACTAGAACATATGTAATCAGTGTGCCCATCGACACAAGTATTGTGAAGTTGGAACAGATGGTCGCAAAAAGGAGAAGTTCATAAGGTATTACTCAGCAACCCTGTATATGACTAAGCATCCGGCTAGAAGTTATGTACAGTAATAATATATTATACAATTCAACCAAGTAAATATCTCAATGTACTAAGCCATGAAGCATACATTTTATGTGAGGGCTTGAGACAATATGCAGTTACGCAAGCCAAAGTGGAACGGAGTATGAACCCGGGATGCATTGGTTTAAAGTAAAGTTTTTAAGGCGACCGGTAACACCTCAGTAATGTGCGCTTTTGGAAAATTACAAGCCTATTGAAACCTCAGCAGGTGTAGCAGAACTCCACCCTGTCTAACTGAAGCACAACTTACACTGCAGTCGGTGAGTTCCCAGCCATAATACATTTTGTGGTATACCATTAGGTAGGGTAACAAGGTACTAGGCTTAGTGCCATTAAACTAACCTTACCTTAGATCATGTTTCTTTCATTTGATAATGAACAAGGATATTTTTATCACAGCTATGAAAGAATGATTCTGAATTAGACGTTTTATAAGACCTGATAGTTATTCAATAGTGAGCATCACCAATAAATCAAAAGCTTTATTTTATATTTACACTTAGTGTTACACGTACATATGAACTGCTTGGTAATCGTATGAACCTGCATCAATCAAAAGTCAACTTTCATTGCCAGTGTCAGATTATGAAGATGTTGAAAATGAATGGAAGACAATTAAGTCATGAGACTACCACGAGACAACTGACTGTTAGTTCATGCGATGTAGATGAAGCAAAATCTCACTTCTATGGGTGACGATGGTAGTACGAAACGTTGGTCGAGAAATAAGGACAACATAGCTGAAAACTAACTCTAAAGACATGCAAAAGCTGTTCTGATCACTAATATGGACATTATCATATCTCTAACACTGAAAACGTTCATAAGCAGGAAGTGGCAATTCTCTACTTCTTTTTATATGTTGATGATAAAAGTGGGTTGCTGAAGTTTAAAAATTGCTTATCCAAAATACAGTTTATGAGCAGATTTTACAGCTAGTTATGCAAAACAGAGGGTAGGAAAATTTATTTAATAATCGTCGCATCATTTTCAGAAGTGCAGTTGTTGGTAGTATATGGAAACTACCTCAAACAAGAGATGCACTCTACGTCAACTGGGAGACCACAGCCGGAGCCTCATGTAGCTGTTTCAACAACTTGACGATGACATCTAAGTGCTCCCTCCTACAAAGTGCAGCACAACCAGCAGGTTTTGATATAGATTATGGATAGTCACTGTCAAACTTAATCACTGGACACCGACATTATGATATGGCAGGCCTTAAAAACTTCTTGCTACTAACAAAGTAATCACTTTATGATTGCTTTCAGATTCAGAACTTGCTACCTGGTTGTTGCACTCGGTCGAATAGTTGGTGCAAACGAATGTCGGTGATTGGAGACAGTGCAATTTTGAGGGACTAGATTTTCAATACAGGATGTCTGGGATAAATCAAAATCACACTTGAGGGTATAACATCTCTTCCCATATTTTGTTCAACTTCTCGGAGATTTACTCATGGACATGTCTGGGTGGATAAGCAGATCTAGAGGTTATTAAAGTGGAGGAAGCGAGTCTCAGACCCATTCATAGCAAAGGGTAGCGAGGAATTTAGGTAAGAGACTTGTAAAACTAGCAGCTTCTGTAAGAATATCTTAACTAGATGCCTCATGAAGTTTGAAAAATAGTAACTGGAAGACTGTGAAAGCTACCTTGAAAGAGCATACCCAAATAACAGATGCATAGCTGTTGGGTAAGATGAGATTCCCGCCCTACCTTCTCACAGAAGCATAGGGGCAAGCGAAATGAGACACGGTTAATCCGGAAAAACTACCACACTAATTTAGAGACCTTTTTCAGTTGATAGAAACGTTAGGTCTCAGGTAAAACCATATCATCTAAATGAAATTTGTTTTGATTTTTGGAAAGGCCGTTTTATGAATACCTAGTAAGCTTAGACCCAAGAATCCGCCAGATTTTGATGGCTTACATCAGGAATTGACATTACGGATTAAATGTTATATTTAACATTTGTGTCAAGTTTAGTTCCCTGGAGACTGGAAGAAGAGAACAAGGTACTTAGTAGCTAGGTACTTTCACATAAGTTTTACCAATGAAGTGAAAAATTATAGGGAATAAATTCATATGGTAGTGGTGCTAGCACAAAAGCAGTGTTACCTGTAGGTCAAACTTAAATACTCCTACAACAGAAGAATAATAAGAGCATAGAGAAGACGAACTGCCACTAAATATGGCTTTTGTTGATGACAGGATGGATTTTGCCAAGCTGTCTCATATCAGCTAACTGGCTTTATCAAAGGTGACAGCAAGTAAGGGTGGGTTTATGAATACCTCAATAACTGCCTAGTGCAACCTATTGTCGAGCTCTTTTGGAAGTGAAAAAAAAACCCAGCAGGTTTCATCATTATTCAACTAAAATTACTAGCTGCCTGGGAAACCTCCAGAACTAGAAGAGTTGCATACAATAAACGTAACCTCTGATATGTACCTCAAAAACTGCCAAAGCCCCGCACAAGAAAATCACCGGGATACGACGATATTCCCCCGTCTGTGTTAAAACAATATCCAAGTGCACTAAATAGTCCGCTCGGTAATCTGTCTCAACACTCCTTGGAAAAATACATCCTTCCACAAGGGTGGGAACATGCTATTCTGTCTCTCAACTTCAAAGAAGGAGACAGGCAGAATCCAAGATGCTATCAACCAAAAGCACTTTACCAGAGCTGTCGAAAGTAATGGAGGGTCTGGTAGATGACCATGTCAGAGAGTACTAGGATCAGAAAGGAACATTATGTGATGCCCAACACGGTTTTCCAAAGAGTAGATCCTGTGCCTCAAACCTTCTGGCAGCCGGTGATAACTGGACGGTATGCTGGGACCTCCAAGTCCCCGTTCATGCGACTTTCCTGCATTTCGCCTAGGCTTTCGACACAGTCTTACACGCTATCCTCATTCGCAATACACCAAGGTTAGACACCAACAGTTAAGTGTTCTCCTGACTGCAGAACTGTTTTGACAACAGAGAATTCGGTACAAAAGTCAATGAAGTGTGGTCGACATGGAGGATCTTAACACTAGCGAATTATAAGGAGTGATCCTGGGTCTGCTGTTGCTTCTCCTTTTCGCGAAGGACCTCCCATTGAGTCTCAGCTCCCTGATTCTACTTTACACTGGCGATGTTAAGCTATGGTGAGCTGACATCCAAAACAGAATTGAGCGCACTGCAAAGAGATTTCAGATTGCTTGCAGAGTGGGTGAGTCATAACGGAGTAGCACTTAACCTAAATAAGCGCCGAACCATATTCTTCTGCACCTCTGACACTCAAAACCTATTTAACTCACTGTTTCAACCTTCCCACACACCGCGGAGAAACATCTGGGACTAATGCTGACTGACAAGCTAAACACCCCCCTCAATTTTCCAGTAGATGCCTCTAGAGACTACGCTGTACTGTACTTCATGTGCAGACAACTAGGTGTCCTCACTCTGGAACTCTTCTTGAAGCTGTAAAAGACCTGTATACGACCTCACTTGGAGGTCCAGAACGTCATTACTCCACCATATCTGAAGAGAGATGTTAGCCTCCTGGAGAACGTTCAGAGGCAAGCGACAAAGGGTGTAATGGAAATGTGACAAAAATCTTATGAGGATAGGCTGATAGACCTATTGCGTTGCCCTCTTAGTCACTGTAGGTTACGTGACGACTTGATAACGTCGTACGGAATAATAAGTAGTCCAAGTTATCCAAACGATGAAATCCTACCAAATGGCCCAACCAAGAGGCGAAAATACGTGTGCATCCACACTTTTTCTCCCTGCAGGTTTGCAGCCAATTCCCTGCCGAGATTGCTACTTCGTTTGCTGGTAGCTTCGAGAGTTTAAACACCAACACAGATACGCTCATCCAGCTGGGATACGGACAAGGTTAATACAACCCATTAACTTCGCACAACCCAGCAGTCGGTCCTATACCGTCCTTTTTACGGCCACTATCATCGCGAACTTGACTCAACCCCATACGTCCCTGGTAAACGTCTTTTGCAGTTACCAACCCTGTAGTAACACCACAATTATTTCTATTCCCATAACCCGTCCAATAACCTTACTTGCTCCTTCTCTTCCCTCTGACTCTATAATCTCATGCTACTCATTTTCTCCTTATCACTAATCTTTGATGAGTCTGCCCGCGTTTTTCCTTTCCTTCTATCCCGCTTCCTTTCACTTTTTTTCTCTTCTTTGAACTTCCTCTTCCTTGATTTCGGTTGTCTTTTTTTTGGCCTTTTTTACAATCAGCCCCAACAACTGTCTGGTGACAGGACGCTTGGAGACCGATTAGCAGCATAGTCCTCAGACATACCATACAATCTCTACAAACTCAATAAACACCTAACCGCCTGTCGGGTTAACCAGAGCTACAGCAGGCCAGTGGGCAGACAGACTGCGTCGGAAACCAGCAAAGAAGTGGAACAGCTCCGCTGGATCCAGAAGCGAACAAGAAATCAGTTGGTTTACACTAGCTCGTTAAAAGATTTTGGATATTGGATCACGGTTAGTCTTAGAAACTCAGTATGCTGCCAGTGGTGCACCTCAAGCCACACGAGATGAATTATCAAAAAATCAAGGAATAATATCCCATGCAAAACATCGAGCTTATGAGTCTAGGCTTGATGCCCAAAATAAGACGTGAGACAAACCTTAGATGCATATATTTAATGTCCTATTCAGGTTCATAGTAGCATGTAACTAAACAACTTATTTACATATAACAATATAGACGAACTAGTCAACTTACTTATATCCTCACGACAACAGCAGGAAATATTCATCACATGTGAAACACTGTTACTAATAAGGCCATAATCAGACGCATCATTTTTCATTTCTTCACGAACATCATTAACTACACCACTGATATCTTCATCTCTTCTGGTAGATCTCACATCTTTGTTAGGAACCCCTGAAATTGTTTCCTCTTTCACGCGTCCACAACTATTTACTCTGCATGCACTTCCTAACCGATATTCCGAAATGTCCGGCATCGGATGTCACCAACGTCTTTTATGAAAAACTACGGCAATATATATGCTAAGTATTACATACAGATGGTCACTATATGAAAGACACTGATTTGAATCATGGCAGAGAATCAACTAAATTTCATGAGGTAGTAAGCATTAGATAAGAACTTCATCATAAATAGGAATACCACATCCACAGGATTTAGATGACCCGCAGTTAGGACAGCCTTTATCCTTTTGATGGTTGTACGGAAAAACAAACTTCTGTGTGATATATAGAAAGACTTAAAATGATACAGCAAAGAAGACTCCTTTTTCTAAAAACTACCTTCTGGATTTTACTCTGTTTTTAGAATACCATGAGATATTGTACGGAAAAGTTTACTCCAGCGGCTTATTCAAAATCTAGAGAATGTCGCTAGAATATGCTCGTGTTGGAAACATCGAAGATATCACTTCGGGTAATCTGGATGAGTTTTAACATTATGTCCTTAGTTGGCTCAACAACAAGCTTTCTTCAGGCTACAGCAGCTGAGGTTAGGTCGACACGAGTAAACTGGCAATCATATCTTCAGTAAGTTCCTCCTAGATTTTGTAAGCCTGCTTCAGAGGACAGATAATCAATGACGAGCAGTATACTTTTATCACTCGTCTTGATAATGCTCCTACTGCAGAAGCTCGAAATCATGTAATTAGAGCAGATGAACAGATGGTAGGTCGGCTAACAATTTGTTATTGAAGTAGACTGCAAGGGTTTTTATATTTATCCTGAATAAAATCTCGAAAGAACAAACCCTACGTTATATTCTTACGCTTATTGATGACATGTTACAGGTATGTTGTATCTTATGGTCACTTGAAATGCAGGAGGACAAATTACGTGTTGAAATTTTTCGTGATTATTTCGCCAAGTCAAAAGAATCATTGTGGTCACACTTCTTCGGATTTTTTCAAAGAGGTGATCCGTTCTGCATGCATCAGGCTTCTCGAATAGTAGCTAAATTCGCCTGTTGGTCTTCTCAGCTCATGGAAGAAAACGATTTGATCTATTACTTGAACTGGCTACGCGAGCAACTAACTATTACTGTGAGCTTTTTTATTCTTGTTGAGTCGTTTGTATACTGTTGCTCGGTTAATCTTCATTTTTCAGTTGAACTCGATTGTCATTTAAGCTAAAGTGATCCTAAACAGCATGAGACTGTAGCTATATGACCACTGATTGAGTCACTAAATAGTGCGATTTCTAATGTGTTTGTAGTAAAAGAGGTGTACCTAGTGGCTTAGTTTTTGCTTCTTACTAATAACGTCACCACTAAGTAGACAGCCACGTAGTTTGAAAAGCAAAAGGCTTGGCCCCACCCAAGCACCAGGGGATGTGACTGTTCCCATAGCGTATGATGAAAGAACCAGCTACCTTTTCTTTGCACAAGTAACACCCTTATTGAAATATGTTTCGTGCATAACACTAATATTAAATGTCGTTTGTGAACCTTTTCGCATGAAATTGAGTGCAGTCAGGTAGCTTCTGCTCTTTATTTGTGTACATAGACAGGGGACAACATTCGCTAACTAGTTCTTGATTTAACCCCCAATCGAATAATTAACACACTCGTTTTAGTACTTTTAATCACCTAATACTTCATCGTCAAATTTGTTTCTTATTAAGTGTCTTAAGAGTTTGAATCTTATTCGAGCCTAATAAATAATGTGTTCCTGTAAAATGTTACCGTGGATGTGGATGTACGCATTACGTAGAATGATGAATCATTTGTTTGGGGAGTTTACTTTTGCCCAATGAGTCTCGAGTTCAAAAACCGCTCTACCTCCCAAGGTTCGGACAACTAGGTAGTACCATCAGACCTCTCAATAGGGGTGGCTTTTTGCCTACTGCACGAATGTGCATAAGGTTGTTGATTTGACATATGTATTACTGGGTGGCCGATACGTAAAGAACAACGCTTTTCGATACACGTATGAAAAGCTAGTTTCCTCCTAGACCAGACCTTTGAATTACTGCTCTACCTTCTGGAAAACCACAGAACTTCCCATTAACTAATTAGGCAAAAAAATCCTGTAGGAGCCACCTAACTTTTCTTAACTGGCCACGTTTTACGTGGTGTGAAAATGTTAGATAGTCTGGATACAGCGGTGTGTTCATATGTAGTCAACTGGAACGTAAGACGAAAGTAGGGAATGCTTCTCTGACCTATATTCGCTACTAAGACGTGATCGGGTTTGCATGTCTCATCCAACAAGCCACCCTAGCGGGACGCTTATTTCTTAAAGTCCTACCATACTTGGGAACTGCCAAATAGTGAAAGACGAAAATGAGTTACTGTTATGCTATGCTCTGATGGAAACGACAGTAACGTGTTCCCCGCGGATAATCAGCAGTATCATGCTGATGCTGCCTTCCTTGTGCGAAGGAGGCCGTTAGAGGTTAGCACCAACGTAGCTCAATCGTTCCTGCTTTGTGGTATTGCAGTGCAAGCGGTCTTATTTTTTTCTGTCCCGCGTTAGCACAGTCAATTCTCAATCCAATAGCCTTCGAAAAATCATTTGCGATAGGTCTCAATCAGACTTCTGATGAACTTTAAGTTCACGTAAAACTAGTCCGTTTTCCCTCACAGATCAACTTCTATGGTGTGGGCAGCCGGGAAATACCAGACGTTGGCACGCTTCCAGCAGTATGCAAAACCAAAACTAATCATAACCTCCCTCCCTTACTTTTGTCTCCTCGCTTGCCTTCACCTTCCCATACCAATAATAGACCTCGCATAACTTCAACTTCTGATCGCTACCACCAGTTCAAGCCAGCAAAACACTCCCCATTTACTAAGACCACGCTGTCAATCCCTTATTGAAGTCTTCAACTTCCGAAGCATGTGCCAAATCAGACCATAGACATCTCTTGCCAAGGTTTCGCAGTCTGGGCCATTGAATATAAGCTATTTCGGCAACACAACCAATGTAGTGAATTTGCAAAATTCACCTTGCGAGTATTCGAAAATTTAGTGACTAGCTCTTGCGGACTCGCTGTTGTAGGCGCAGTATTCGGTTGTAGAGCTGTCCACTTCGCTACAGAAAGCAAACCCTTCAGATATAGTTTTAATAGCTGGTGGCTTATGTGTTTAAGTAGGTAAGCTGAGCCGACCGTAAAGGCATTTTGGCGGTATCTGTAGTGCCCCATATCAATGGCCTGACGATAGTGATCGTCCTTTGAAAGTTTTTCGTATCCAGGCCGTCAATAACAACTCTGTCTTACTTGGTTGATTTGAGAAGATCGATTCTGGTGACAATGAAGAGCGAAAGCAGCGTAAATATAAATTAAGTGTCTCTGCAATTATCGTAAGCATTGTTGGGTAGCAAAGTCAATAGAAATTAAGAAGATATCTGCTTTAGGTTATATTCGAAAATTATTTAGGTTAGTGAAACCATTACCCCTATACCTTTCATTTCAGTAATTTGATTATCTTTGAATACTTTCATCTCATTTATGTATATTATTACTTAAATGTGTTGACTTACCTTCGACCAGCTGAATACTTACACGTGCTATTTTAATCTTTTTTTACAGAACAATGAATATGACTTAACTGTGGCTCGAAATCTTCAGATGATGCTGCGCATTAAGGAGTATCGTGCTCAGTTTTCTAAGGTCGGTGGGATTGAAACGTAAGTTTCTCACACTGTAGGTGTTTGTACAACAAAATACTTGAAAAAATTTGTAGTTGTATCCCATCTATTATCCTCTAAATTTTCACTGTGACTGCAGTTTCTTTTAATAACACCTACCTGTTTGCCGTTTGTATTCGAACAAAGACAAAAGACAGTTTAGAAATGCTTTTTACATTAATAAGGATCCAGCAGATTATTTCAAAATAGTATTTGTTTCATCTATCATTCAGCAACTGGTTTTTAATCCATAACCCACCTTGACTTAAAGTGTGATTGTTTTATGGATCAATACAATGTTTTTAAAGGTGAGTACCCTGTGTAAGTATCCAGTCCTTCCGTAGAACAAATGTGTTTCAACACCCTGACGGTCAATGCATACCATTGTGAATGAATTATACATTTGATTATCAATCGTACCACTTACTCCTATCAGATAGATATTATTATTTGCTTCCATGCTATAACTTAACGTCACATCCTAATACCCAGCTTGTCACTATAGTTTGTATGCTCAAATGTTTTGGCACCTCAAGGTGTCTGCATAGGACTGCATGGTGCATTTTTTTTGCATTAGAAGTTTCAGTAAGTAAAACTATATCTGACGGGGGTGTTTTCCACTCAAGTGAAAGAGCGGTGTTTAGTATCTGCAGTCCTGGTTGGTGCTTGCCGGGTGGACATTATCAACACAGCACCTGCCATTACTACGTAGTCGTTCAATTCTTTACACCTCACATCAGTTCATTGTCTTAGAAAGACACGAAATGGAGGACAAAAAAGTGGGGAAATACCACGTAGAGCAATTACACAAAAAAGGTAAATCGAACGATGAGATAGACCTTAACATTCATGATAAGTAACATGGTATACTCCGAATTAGCACGTAGGGGTTCTTGCATCAAACTATATACCATACCTGTTGTGCGACGTGCAATGTTATTCCATTCCGTTTTTTTCGGTCTGGGTAACCGGATAGTTATTATACGCCCTCATAGATAAAGCGGGGCTCATACCCTAGTATAAACTTCCGTACCAAGTTGAGGCTCAGCCCGTGAACAATGAAATTTAAAGATCTAAGGTAATAAGCCCAAACTTATTCCGTCTTATTCTTAGTTTTACTAGCGTAGTATACTTATGAAGGCGTTGCTTAACATGTATCCCAACTATCTCAATTGATGAGGGTTAACGGTTCCATTTTACTCACTTGTAACCATGGTCGTGTTTTTATAGTTGTTTATTAGAGTAGATTGCATTACTGGTTAGCTTATGACATCCTTTGGAAGACACTCAAGTATCTCACCTTCACTGTAAGTGGCCTATTTGTTTGCCTTGTAAATGGCAGAACTTTCGATATCAGCTAAATATAGCTGTCTGATTCCAACATCCCAGTAAGTACTTTAGCCATTGAAACTAATAATCTTGGCTCTCCGTTTGGTGTTAGCTGGACAGAACTTGATGTCCTTCCCCATTTTAGTTTATTTACAGTCTTCTCAGCTTCAATAGGTGCCTAAAGTTAACGTTCAGTTTAGGCTATACCCATGTAGTAAGTGACTAAAGAGCACCTACAAGGCAATAGAACGACTCATCAGTGTTGTGCTTATTGTTTCAGATTAAAGTTGGTGTTGACTAGCAATTTTATAGTTTAGTTCCAGCTAATAGTAGTCATCAGTTATCTGGGCTCTAATTCCGAAACTGCCATACATTAGGTCCAGTCTTTACTTGTCATTTGTAGTTGCCCATCACAATGGTTTCACCTATGCGTCTGACCTTTCTTAGGGTACTAAGCAGATTTATGTAGAGTTTAACTTTCACATCATATCAACAGTTATGAGTGTTTTTGGTGGGGACCAAAAATTTGTGTCGGTCCATGTTAGCATGTTGTATGCTCCCTGTACTCTTCCTGTACTTTCGAAACAAACAGTTCACAAATGACTATTACTTAGATTGCACTTAAAACAGAACACTTTTTATCATGTCTACGTTTTGATAAAAGAACCTAGGTTGTGTTGCGTTTTTTGAGCAGGATGAAGCTGACGTTGTCTTTCTAAACAATATTATCAGCGTTAACTTCCATATAAAGCGAGCCGTTCGGATTTCTCTGTGTGTTGTGATTGAGTAACTTACTCTAACGAAGTGGTTTGTGATTGGTAGTTTCCTTGGATTGTTATGTCACTAACTACAGGTTTTCCTATCAACCGTTTTTCTATCTGACCTCACTTTCCTGTATAGCTGATGGATTGTGTCTGTCTATGCATCTGTTTGCTGGTCGACATGAATGCCAGGCTCCCGAGAATTCTCTGATATTCTTTGTGTTTCATCTATCCAAAATCAGGACGAGCGACTAAATCGCTTGCGGAGAAACCCAATGGCTCACTTCAAATTGAAGTTAGTATTGAGAATGACGTTATGATATTTTTTATTTCCCGTTGCTATACAGGGCTGTATTACTCGACCGCTGTTAGCAGATGGGCTCCTCTTCAGTTGCCTCGTTACTGCCGGATATTGGTCTTGGTGACTAGCAAAGGAATCCAGGACACGCGTTTCGTCCGATTTGGGACCCATCAGCTGGATGAAACGCACGTCCTGGATTCCTTTGCTAGTCACCAAGACCAATATCCGGTAGTATCAAGGCCTCCCATACGAGCCCATCTGTCAACAGAGTTCGAGCAACTTGGCCCTGTATAACAACGGGAAATCACATGTACCTTACAACAACTGATACCCGTTGCACAATAAGGAGGGTATCGTGCCCCAGTGGCTCAGTGGATAACGCTGTGGTGCTTGAAGCGAAGGGTGCTGGGTTCGAGCCTCAGTGGGGACAACATTACTTGGCACTGGGGTACAAGTACATCCAGTTGACAAGTGAACCGCAAATAGGATGAGACGCGCGTTCTGGACTCCTCTGCTAGTCACTAAGATCAATATATTACTAAGGTTAAGCCAACCAGCTCAGAAAACGCAACACAACCGAGATCATCCAACTGAACGGCGAATATTCTGCTTTTTGACAAAGTAATCTTCGATGTGATTATTATTATCTAGGGGGAAAAATCATTCAAATTAGTACAGTTACTGTTCTAATTTTTGCTGGTACTGAGCTCATTCGTTTATTTTGTGACTTCCAGTTTGTCGTCCCCGTATGATTATCCAAGTTTCTCTTTCTTTCTCTCTCTTCAAAGGATTGTGGATGTTCTTCAAGAAAAATTAACTAGTAGACAGCTGCAATATCAATTAATTTTCTGTCTATGGTGTATGAGTTTTGACTCATATCATGTTACTGAAATATGCAAAAATCCTTCACTACTAGCTACAGTAGCAGGTATATTTCTTGAGGCAGATCGAGAGAAAATCACTAGAATTTCATTGGCTCTCTTTCGTGTAAGTTGTTCCGGGCTAATAAGTTGTCTCTTCCCATTACTTATTTATTGATAAAGTGGTGATTATATCCTTTTGATATTTCATAGAGGTTTTATTGTTGGTTGAACTTAAATTTCAATCATTGAATGTTGGACATTTGTCAGCACATCATCATCAGTGCAGCTTCACAAAGAGAGCTCGAATACTAGCGGATCATGTCTGTTTGCAGTGTATTGGTGTCACGGAGGTCATCATATTCATTGAGCGTTTGCGTACTCACTAGTCGATGTGATAACTCAGGTTGTATCAAGGGTTAACAATGCCACCTAGTGGCCTAAATCTCAGTACATAAAGCGATTTTTAAACCGTTGACTAACTGCTTGAAGGTTAGGGACTCTTAATTCAATGCACCAGTGGAGCTGTGGCTTATTGGTTTAGGGGGATAACTTTCAACCATAGGGTCATAGGTTCTATCCTTGCTCTATCTACCGGGGTTTGAACAGTCAGATAATATCACTAGCCCTCACACAATAGATGTGGCTCGTTGCCGAGTGCATTTCGATTTCTTTTTTTTTCAGTACACCACAGATCCACCAAGTTCAAGTGCAGATTATGAAATATATTCTAAGTGTAAATCACATTAAACCGCATCAGCAATGTATCTTAGCATTTAGCTATGTCATATGTCACAATGTGATTCCCTAGATTCTCGTGAACGTGACCCTGTTGTCACTACACTACCATAGTCTCTATCACTTTTATTTACAAATGGTAATAACTTGTGTGTTCTTTCCTGACCGTTATGACTTTTCGAGCTTACACACATGACAAAAATTGTTCACTGACACTATCGTTGAATGGCTTTCATTTAATCTGACTCCAACATTGGATTTATGCCTACTTTAAGAATAACGCTATAACTTGATTGATCAAATTAAGGCAACATTTGAACACTTTAGGCTGTAGTTAGAAGCTAGTTCCTTAGATAATTGAATAAGGGCTGCATGTCAGGAGAGTTTTTCTATGTATATCCTCTTGGGTATAATTCTTTTTATTAATATCCATTTCATATGGTCGGCTTTTTGCTTCCATGTAATCTGAATTTCCCAACTGTCCAAAGTACTTTACAAGCTTGGCAGAAGCCTATGTCTGTACTCACTCTTAGTGGTGAGCCGTTGGAAGTAGTGGAAAAGTTCGTGCATCTGGGTAGTTGCGTAAGTGCTGGTTTATGATGAAAATTGATAACCGCATATCGAAAGGCAGAGTAGCATACACTGATCTGGGCCACCTTTGGCGCCGTCTCGACGTTAGTCTGACCGTAAAAGGTCAGGTTTACAACGCCTCAATAGTTCTGCTCTACGCCTGTGAAGCCTGGCCTCTCCAAGCTGAGGATATGCGACGACTCTGTGTGTTTGATCATTGTTAGCTCCGTAGGATTGCTCTTATCTGGTGGCAACACCATGTGAGTAATTGTGAGGTACGGCAGTGTGTTTGGGCATGATGGAGATTGTGATTCAATAAGTAAAGTCATCTGGAAACACCGGGTCCGGCGGCTTGGACATGTGTTATGCATGTCATCCCAACGGCTTCCACACCGTCCACTGTTTGCTGACCGTAGGCTTGGGACTGAATGGAAGAAGTGGAGGGGTGGTCAGTGTGTGACGAGGCACTGTGGGATGACGGATAGTTGTATTGGGTTATCATCTGTCAGTGGATCACGACTCCCTGGTTGGGATTGGTGAGATCATGCAACTCAGTGACTTGAGTGGTTATCAGATATGGCTCAGAATGGAAATTAACAGTGGTCATGCTGTAGCTTTCTCCTGTCTTCCGCTTCTAAAAAGTTGTGAATGTTTTGTTTTGAATATATCTTATTGGACTGTCTTTCTATTCATCTCATTCTTATTGTGTTTTTCTTTTTTGAACCACTTCCCTTCGCTTTATGTCTTCATAATATTGTCTTATTATTGTGTGTGGGGCATTTCTTGGTAGTCTTGTTGTACCAAGTTTGTGTTCTAACAATCGTGAATTCTTCAACATTCATTGATGGTCAAGTGATTAGTTATCCTTGTTTGTACTTGACCTGATTAGCTTACAGCTATTACGTTTTCATAGATATGAGTCAGTAGAACACTGTATTGAATATTATACATGTTATTACTATTCATAGACTGTTTTCATTCATACCTACTTGTGTTCTTGCATTTCTTTTTCCGTTGATTCGCCTTTTTGTTACCATAATTCTTGGTTAAGGTGGTGAATTATTATAACAACTTTGAAAAGACGTGCACTTTCATTATTATCGTAGAATGCCGCATGTTTCCCTTGTTTGTTGATAGACATTATTACCTTGACTATCATGAACGATGCGATTCAAATTCAGCAGCGCAGTACAGTGAAGTGCAACTCACTATCGGACAATGATACAATAAGTTTACTCCTGAACATTTTAATCAAACCATTGACGTGGGGAAAAAACAAAGCAGGACAAGACGAAATGACTCTGTTTTCTTTTCAGACTGATGGTAGACAAAGTTTTTTGTGTTAGTGTGTGTGTATTTGTGTTTCGGCAGGGCGATCTTGCGAGTCAGCCGTTCACACAAAGCGTGTTGGTGGGTCTCGATTAAAGATTTTGCAGAGGTTCAAATTTTCAGGAAATTGTGATATTTCCTAACATTGAAATGTACTCATCAACCTTGTACACTTTCATGCAGTAAGCAATAAGCCACATGTATTGTGTGAGGGCTAATGATGCCACCTGGCTGGTTAAACCTTGGTAGGTGGAGCAGGGTTTGAACGCGTGATCCAGTTTTTGAAAGTTATCTCCCTAAACCAATGAATCACAGCTTCTAAGATTAGATATAGTGAAACCTCAATTACGCGGACGTCTTCGTCTTCAGTCACTGTATTTACATAAAGCTAGTATTTTTCCTAATGAATGTGAAGTTCTTTTTTCCATCTTTTCATTTTTTTCCTTTGACAGAGTATTTTAGAAAAGCTGCCCACAAGTACAGAACAACGAGAATGTGGTTTACGTTTAGTTCAGTATAAAGTATTAAGAGAGTTAGAGTTGCTGAGTCAAAAAGATTTCAGTCATGATCCTGAATTGACAGATGATATTGCATTCTTGAATGTGAGTTAATATTCAGAAGATTTTTAATTTGTATGCATAATAGTTGCTTTTTGTTTTTCTTCATGTAAAGTTAACTCACTAAACAACTATTGCTCACCAAATTAGTGTAATCAGTTGACTGTCGTTTCTAAATGAACGAACTTAGCATAAGACAGTAGGCTACACCTATTGTGTCAGGGTTGATATAACTAACTACTTAGCTGCTTAAACCTCGGGAAGTGGAGTAGGCTTCGAACTTATGACTAATTTATTTTAGGTTAGAATTCATCTTGGACCGATATCAGTTGAAGGAACATTGGAAACCTCGAAGCACTGGACGGCTGTTTCGTCCTAGTGCGGGAATCCTCAGCAGTGCGCACCCGTGACCCCGCCAGGGATCGGACCCACGACCTTCAGGTTCCGTGGCCAGCACGTTACCATTGAGCTAGTCACTGTGTCAGGATCCAATGGTCGCATTCCCTACTTCTGTCAGTTCACAGTATAGCGCGACCTACATCCAATTTTGTCGTTGAGTAGCTGTCCGGATATTCGACTTGGTTGACTGCACTGGTCACAACTTCTCATTGGTACTTCGGAAGGTCCTGGGTTCCATCCCTGGTGGGGTCATGGATGTCCATTGCTGAGGAGTCCCACACTCGGACGAAACTGCTATTCGGTGCTCCCAGGTTTCCAATTTACCTGCAACTGATGTCAGTCCATGATGAATTCTAACCTAAAATCGATTGATAAACCTCCACAAACCTCCAAATAGAACTAACTAATTTAGTTGAGAAGGTCAACTTTCTAGACCAATGAGCCATAACTTGAGAGTATTTTCAATGAGTTAATGTTGCTATTGATATAAAAGTTGGAAAAACAACAACAAATAGATGAATTTATTCAAATAATTCATGAAACCGTTCCTACCATGCACTTGGGTAGATACCCTATCGTAGTCAGTGTGGTGATTAGGTACTGTTGACTTGGTTTGTTCATATTTTGCTGGATAATCAACACCTTAAATTGAACTTACCTGTATCTAATCAGAGTTTTTTTTTATCGTGTTAGCTCGTAGGTTTACCAACCCAAGTGATCTTGGCGTTGTGTTTTCGGACTGTTGTAGACGTTTTCAAGGATTTATTTTCTCGACATTGTAATGAGGATGATGCTTGAGTTGGAGGTGTGGATAAAGTAACCAGTTCCTTGTTGCTATTTCTCATATGCGGATGGATTTTCTTTTTAGTGTAAAATGTCTTATCAACTATAAAATACCAATACAGTTGTCATCATACTTTTCATATCCCTTATGTGTTGTTGACTTCACTTTATATACTTGTACAGTATTCTGCACGCATTTACACCATATCATATTAGCTATCAACAAAACTTCCATTTGAAAAGACTTTTTTAAGATTATGGTCTCACCTGTAAGTAAAGCGCTCATGCAAACAAACAGAATTAATGTAGGATCTGATACAAGCTATCTACACCTTACAACAACACAGAGGAAATGAATCTAGTTGAAATCCACTCACCAACCTTGCTCACGTTATAGTAGTAGGTAATCAGCCACACCTATAATGTGAGGGCTGATGATACTACTTGGTTGCCCAAACCTCAGTAGGTGGAGCGGAGTTCGTGACCCGTCGTTTGGGAGTCAATTGCCTGAAACAGTGAGCCACAGCTCTACAGAGAAGTGAGTAGAAACAGAGTGATATTGTAATGATACTTGTAATTTCTCGTCTCTATACAGGGCCGAATTGCTCGAACTCTGTTGGCAGATGGGCTCCTATGCGAATGTCTTGATACTGCCGCATATTTATGATGTTATGTTGATCTCGGTGACTAACAGAGGAGTCCAGAACGCGTGTCTCGTCCTATTCGCAGCTCACTCGGCAGCTGAATGTATCTCCACCCCAGTGCTGAGTGATGTTCCCACTGAGGCTCGAACCCTGCACCCTTCGCTTCAAACGCCACAGCGTTATCCGCTGGGGCACTATAGTCACCTTTTGTGAAACGGGTATCAGTTGTTGTAATGAAACTTTCTCGTTTCTATAAAGGGTCGAGTTGCTTGACCTCTGTGGCTGTCGTGCCCCAGGGGCTTAGTGGATAATGCCCTGGCTTTTAAAGCGAAGGGTACTGGTTTCGAGCCTCAGTAGGAACAACATCACTCGACACTGGGGTACAAGTACATCCAGCTGATGATTGTAGGTTAGTAGAAATGCTCACAATTCCAAAGACTACTGAAACTAGCAGTCAAATTCTTCATCTTATCTCTTTCTTTCAACATAACTCTACCTCGTTTAACGTCGTGCATCGAGGTTGGCAGTGTCATGGACATGTGTTGCGCATCTAAGTGTATAAGCTTGTCGACTGTGGCTATTTTATGTAGCTTCATGAAATAGTCTGCATTCAAGTCAAATTAAGTGGAGTTGCCATTAGGCAATGGATGAACAGCAGTATCCTCTCCACATGTGAGGGATTCGATTCCAGATGAGGTTATGTGGATTATCAAGGAATATCGTACTAGGCTGTCATAAATATCCAGTCCTTTGTGGTTTTTCCAGAGCTCTTTATTTCTTCTTTCTAGTCTCTATCTTCCAGCTAATCAAATCCTATGACCATCAATTGAATATAATTTCTTTTAATATTACAACACCAACTATATTTCATATGTTACTTAATATTTCTTATTCAAAAATAAAAGGAAAAGTTGTCCGCAAGTATTCAAGATGTCAGTAGTTTGGATGAATATATGGCTGAATTAAAATCTGGTCGACTGGAATGGTCACCTGTGCATAAATCAGAAAAGTTCTGGTATGAAAATGCTGTGAAGTTTACGGATAATAACTATGAAATGTTGAAGTAAGTTGAGCGAATTAAAGTAGGTTCCTAATATGTTTACTATGTTAAGTATTTGTACTCTGATACTGTTGATAAAGTGAAACGATTTGAAGTGGGATGTAATTAGTTAGTGAACAACAAATGAAGTTATCACACTTCCCAACACCAACGTACGAAAACAATCAGCTAAAACACTGAAATATTTAGGTGATATAAAAAAAAAATACAATTTTGACAATCTGAGATACCAATGGTTTGGCAGACTAGTATTTATACTGGGTAATGATTGAAGGTGAAATAAAAATTTCGACCGTGGCCGTATCCGAACCAGCGACCACTGGGTTTCCGGTCTGATGCTCTACCAGCTGAGCTACGAGGTTCAACTGCTGACCAGATTTTTACTTCACTTCAATCACCAAGGGTTTTTCCCGACTACCGTGTGACTTCGTGATGCGTTACTAGCGCTTGATCGTATTCACACTGGCTGCCTAGTTAGGACTTCTCATCCCAATCCATCGGTGGTGGCTGGTTCGAATCCAGCCGCGGTCCAAATTTTCATTTCATCTTTAATCATCACTCAATATACAAAGTGCCATCAGAAAACTTGAAGTAATGTATTAAGAATCTTCTCGTGAACCATAGTCTTCTATGCATCACATATACACAATTGTTTTATATGTGGTAATATTCTTCAACGTTCCATTTTAAATTAGATTAACTAGATTGGAATCTGTGTTTTTGAAGTTGAGTGTCTTTACAATAGTTACAAATGGATAAACGTTTTGTATTGAAGGTCACCTATGCGACGGTGAATTTTAATGATTTTGTTATATATTAGAAGATCTTCTCCAGCCCGTGAAATGAGAGTAAATTTGAATTTGGTGATTAGGAACTGAACATCTATACTAATCAACTATCATTTCATTTGATGGTTATAGATTGTCTTGATAATTTTGTTGAATAAAAGATAATGATTGATTACTGTCAATGAAAGGATTTCTCAAGTTTGCTTTTTCAATTTACCTTTCTTACGTTCTCTTCCTTCTCTAATCCTACTACAAATCCCTATCTTTTTGATTATTGGAAAATTCTAGCTCAGTACTACTATTGAATAATGTGTTAACAGACCTTTCGATATAATTTATCCACAAATGGAAAGATTCTCTAAAGAACTAGTTCGTACCTGTTACCTCCATAAGTTATCGATGTGAAGTTTGATCTACAAGGTAGTGATAGAGAGCAATATTAGTAGTTGCTTTTTTGCATAGTTATTTGAAACCAACAATACAGTTTCGTATGCTATTTATTACTTCGGGATCTTGCACTCCATATTCATTCTTATATTTGAAATGGGATTTTCCATGCTCTTCTAAATGAACTTTCTTTATCTATCACTTCTATGTTGTAAAATATTTAGTCTGAAGGTATTAAATTTCATAATGAATTATGTAGTATATCTAGACTGTGAATAGAGTATTTGTAAAGTTTCTACTTGTAGTTTAAAAAGACATTAATTTCATTGTTTATGATTAAAAGTAGGTATTATCAATGATGAAACCAATTTATTACTCATATGCTATGCTAGGGAAAGTTGAATAAGGTTGGAAGAGGGTTCAGAGCGGTCAGACCAAGACTTGGCATCAGTCTATGACACTCCTGGCTGCTACTTGACTGGAGTCCCGACATGAAGCGAATCTATGGTTGAGGATTCTTCGTGATATGGCTGAAAATCGGTTACAGAGGAGCAGATACATTCACTCCTTGGCATCGTCTGAAGCCTTGATATTGTTTATTTTCTCATACAACTTTGTATACACTGATATCACTCCTTTTCTATCCACCTGTTCCGCTCCATCTTCCGAAGTTTAGGCAGTCGGTTAGTAATGTTTAGCCCTTTATGTCTGCTACTTGAGTTTGCACTTGGTTACTAAGTGACAGTTCAAAGTGTTCAACACATTTTCCTCCTCATAATTCGCTAAAGTATGTAGTAGTCGTTACTTTTTTCAGAGAACTTAGCCAACTGAAATAAATGATTTTTTCACGATTATTTATTTTTTCTTGGATTTGAATGTTCAGGATGATAGTACGATTAGTAGAACTTGGCATTGACCCATTAACATTGTCCGTAGCTGTTCATGATATTGGCGAGTTCGTTAGACACTACCCACGTGGTAAACAGTGAGTTGAATATATTAGCATACTTGTAATTCTCTGTTGTTATACTGGATTGAATAATCGACCTCTGCTAGCTTACGACCTCATATGGAGATACGTAGATATTTGTTATAGGTGTGGCTATCAAAGGAATCCAGGATATGCGCTTCTTCCTATTTAGAACTCATCACCTGGATGTACCTGCATCCCAGTGAGTGACTTTGTCCCCATTGGAACTCGAACCTCGTACTCATCGCTTCAAACGCCAGAGCGTTATCCACTAGGTCACAAGTATCAACAAATAATAATATCTAGTACCCGCTGTACAAGAGGTGCCTATCGTGCCTCAGTAGCCTAACAAATAACGCTTTGACCTTTGAAGCGGTCGATACGAGGTCCGAGTCTCAGTGGGAACACCACCACTCACTGGGATACAGGTACATCCAGTTGACGAGTTCCAAGTGGGACGAAATGCGCATCTTAGATTCCAATGCTATTCACAACCAAACAAATAAGTTGTTTTCCATCTGTGTAATCATCAAGTTTCTCATATTGGGGGTACATGATGACGAATTCTCACTAAGGATTTAGCCATTGGTACTGCCACACAGTCCTACACATTTTGAAGCTTTCATTCATTTAGATGTGTATGGATACATTTAACAAATCCCACCTAAAATTTATACTGACTAATATTGTGTACAGAGTAATAATAATCATTTTATTCCAAGCAATATATATGACACTAAAATTCTCAGCATGTAATTTTCCAACAAATTCACTCCCAGGACAATACTTTCAGATGAAATGGTTATTGTATCTGAATAATGTAAGCAATAACAGTATTCAAGGTAATAATATCAAATAGCCAGCTGGTTCTAGATGGGCATCCGGTCCATAATGAAGAATCAACAGAAATACAACTGAAGCTAAGCATCTGATGGATAAAAATATGAAGTAATTTTGTGCAGTGAAAAGTCCACTTCTATATATAACGTAACCTTTTTTCGTTGCTTTACGATGGAAGAATTGAAAACAGTTTTAAAATTTGAAAAAGTATATAATATGTTAAAAGGACATATATAAATATGGTTAAAACAAATTGAAAGGAAAGAAATTGGTGAAAATTTTTCAGTGGATAATCTTAGTAGCCCAAGATTCAAGCAGGCTGCCGTCAGAAATTTTTGGTGTGCAATTGTACTCGTTATTTGAAGGGTCAGTTGATATTTAATTAAAGAGAAATAGTTGTAAACGATAACTTTTGTGGGGATAACGGTTGTGGTAACACTCTCAGATTTGTAATTTTGTATTTCCTAAGTACTCTAGTAGGTTACACAGCTCATGAAATCGAAGCAATTCTATTAGATGAAGTCAACTTTAGGCATACATTAATGAATCCATATGTTTACAATAGCACATTGCTACAGTAAGTTACATCAAGAGTAACTAATGTGTCTACTGTGACGCAGATAACTACTATTTGCTTACAAGTACTGTGTGAATTTCCTTCAACCTCTCCGATAAGTAACTTATTCAGTTTGTATCGGTTTATCTTCAATTCTTTTCTGAATACATCCCATCTAACTTAAAGTTCAAGTTCATCCGGATAAGTAAGTACTGATGAAACAATTGAACCGTAATCCATTCACTTACTCTGTACACATTCGTACGGTAGGGAATGAGTCACACCTAGTGTATGAGGATTAATGATACTACGTGGTTGTCAAAACCTCAGTATATAGAGCGGAGTTCGAACCCGCGACTCTATAGTTAAAAGTCAACTTCCTAAACCAACTAGCTACAAGTTCACTGATAAAACAGTTGATTTCTCAAACTTCCACTACTCTCCCTTCATTTAGACTGTCAACTTGAAAAATAGGGAATACTGTCATATGAAGTCTAACTCCTGTACAGTTTATTTACACAGTTCAATACCTATTTGTCTGTAGACGAAATAGTTTTTAGCTTCTAAGAAGTACTAGAATAACCATCTAAATTAGCAATAAATTGTGTGTCAATCGTGTTGAAAAGAAAAATTGGCAAATTCACTATACAGTTGAAACATTTATCCTCAGCATGTTCTGTCTAATGGGTATACATATTTTTTTGTTTCACTCACAGCTACTAGGCAATGTTAATTTATTTCTTTACAACATGAAATGAAAGTTGTTGATTCATGACGTAGTATTTAAGCATACAAAAAGTAAGAACAACTTTCAGTGGTACTCTGAACTGATTTTCATTCCATAGTTGTTTGTTTGTTTTTTTTCATAAATATGAGAGAGGGTTAGAAAGGTTGTCTCATATTCTACTGTTTTATATTTGTTTTAAAGGATAATTGAAACACTCGGAGGTAAACATCTGGTAATGGCTTTATTACAACATGAAGATCCGAATGTACGTTATAATGCATTAGTTTCATTACAGAAAATAATGGTCCATAATTGGTAAGAAATATGGATGGTTTATTCTATGTTGAAGGGTATGATAATTAATTTTCTGAAAGAAGAACAAAGTATATTTCAGTGAAGAGTCTCTTCTCAATGATTTCATTTTCGAAGCTGTACAGCCGCAAATTTGTACATTTTTCTAATTTAAGGATTCGATAGTTAAAAACGGTTTGTTAAGCATGGCTGACAACACAAACAATGTCAATTAAAAAAAACTCATGAATAGTGAATATTAAATCAAAATAACTTTGGATAAGAAGTTTCGTTACATGACCGACATAACTGGAAACTGAATTGTGATCAAGCAGAGCATAGCAACAAGAATGAGTAGCAAATTACTTAAGAAGTGAATTGTGCCAAAACAGAAACATGCAAAGAAAAGGTGGGAGGGGATTTCGAAGACTGAAAACTAAGACCATGAAAGGAGAAGGAGTTGAACAATCTTCTTTTGCATACACAGTTCAGGTTTCTCCATATGGAGATGCACAGAATACGAAGATATACAAACTTTGGGAGGTTTCTTCTTACTTTATAGATGACTTTGAACAAACAGGTTCTTAAGATAGCCTGATTCATGTTCACAGTGTGTTCAATTATAGCACTCCTTATCGTTCCATTGTTACCTCTTTGTAACCACGCAAGATTAAGTTTATTCACACTGTTGGGCAATAAATGTCTCTGCATTCTAAGTTACTTGATTCCTCGGAAATCCTCTGCTCGTCAATAAATTTTTGACCATAGATAACTTCTCTAAAGTTTGAAAGGAAAATTGATACTTTTGGTCTAGGCACTCGATTTTCAATCAATGGACAACGCGTCCGAATTGCTCACCTATTAAGGTTATAGCAGCCAGGTAGTATTATCAGTTGTCACAATACAGTTGAGGCTGATTACCTAGTACCTGAACATACGTGTAGTCACTGATGGAATTTCATTTTCCTTCCTTTTACCTTTGGGATCAACTAACTCTGAATTAAAGACGGAGTGCTCATCGATATAATTGTCTGATGATCTTTCTACATTATTAAGTGACTGGTATGTGATGGAGAAGTGAGAATATTCTCATGCTAAAACCTGAAGAGTGCAAATGTCCATAAACTCAAGGATGTACAATTTATCAACTCATTCAGTGTTTAATGTCGGGTGACTAGCTGATAAATCGTGGTCTGTGTAAATACACACCTCGAAATTCCTATTCTTGTTTTATGTTTTACACTCAACTTTTACAATAATAAATCTAACCTATTATAACGTTATTCACATGCTGATTTGAAAGAAACGCAGAAAACGGACTTTACTTATTACACATGAAATTAGTTTATTCTAATGGTACTGTAATCATGAAATGTACAGTACTAACTCATTTCGGTGATCTTCATTAATCTGAAATCAGTGTGGAGATCTGCTGCACTCAGCATAAAGAACAAGATGCGGATATTCAACAGTAATGTCAAGGCAGTACTTCTAGATGGTTCAGAAGCTTGGCGCATTACGAAAAGCATTTCCAACAAACTACAGACATTCATCAACAGCCGCCGCCTACCCTCACGCGATACTGAAGATCAGATGGCCAGAAACAATAAGCAACAAAGAACTCTGGAAACGAACCAACCAAGAAGCTATCGCTCAACAAATATGCAGAAGAAGAAAGTGAAGATGAATTGGATTGAGCATGCACTGAGAAAACCATTCGGAGACACCACACACCGGGCCAGTCCCTTGAGTGGAATCCAAAGGGGAAACGACAAGTTGGGCGTCCGAGGGTGTCATGTGAGGAAGAAATGAAAGCTTGTGGGCAGATGTGGAGCCAGGTTTAAAAGACTAGAAAGAACAGAGTGAAATGGAGATGGGCTACTGAATCCTTATGTTCCACTAGGAACCCAAGGGACAAATAATAATAACTCGTATCGGTTAAACAGAATCTTATATGCTTCAAATGATAATCTATTAGTCAGATAATAAACTTAAAACCGACCTCACACAAATAAATGATCATTAGAAAGAGTGAAAATAGGCATTTGTGAGTACAAAGATACCATCAATGTTTAAATCTGGATAAGCCGCAAGATACAACAATAAGATAAGTAATGTATTTTTGAGATGAATGGGGATTTTTAATTTAGAAGTAGTATTCATCATGGACTGACATCAGTTGGGGAACCATTGAAAATCCTGGAGCATTGGACAACTGTTTCGTCCTAGTATGGGACTCCTCAGCAGTGCGCACCATTCATCTCAAAAATACATTACTCTATAGTGCTCATTAGTGACTTGCTTCCAGATGGATGTTAGGATGTTCTAATGAGAAGTCGTGACCTGTGGGGTCAACCAGTCGGAGGTGAAGTGGATGCTAACTGAAGACCTTGGGTGACAGTCGCGCTATGTCGTGAATTGACAGAAGTTGTAAATTGTGAACCACTGGAAACCGACCCAGTGGCTGAATGATTAACGCGTTCGCCCGTGAAACCTCAAGGTACTGGGTTCGACCGTTAGCCGGGTCGTGGGTGCGCACTGCTGAGGAGTCCCATACTAGGACGAAACATCTGTCCAGTGCTCCCAGATTTCCAATGGTTCCCCAACTGATGTCAGTCCATGATGAATACTACTTCTAAATAAGTGTCAAAATGACACTAGACTATGTGTCATGAAAATAGTGTACACATCTTATAGATTGATTTCAAGCCGTATTTCTGAATGCCTGATAATCAAGCCTTATCTTCCAGGTTATATTGTTACTGCACAACAATACGAGCTGGTACACATCAGAGTAGTAGGTACATAGATGAAAACAGAAAAATAAGGAAGAAATTAATGAAAAGTAGTAAAAAGAGTACAAGAATGAATAAAACAACAATGAAATTTGCTATGACAATTAAAATGACAATAATGTGTGAATGTATCTGCACCATTAAGGTCTATTCTGAATTATATCACCTAGTCTCCAACCACCGATTCGGGTTATCGTGTGAACTCAAATGAGCGTCCCTAGAGAGTAACACCTAAAGGTATAATGTTGTGTGGGCATTATGATAGATTTCCCTAGTCTATTGTTGAATCCTTGTATGCTTTATTCTACCTTTACTTTGTTTAACAAACAAATTCTGACTTCATAATCTTATTTATTTACTTACCATTAGTTGTGAGGTATAATGAAAATGGAGACACTTCCCATCTCAACCCTACTGTATGGAACTGAATTAGGACGGGAATTTTAATAATCCCCTGAGTTAAATGTGCTAATTGGTTTCCTTTCAGGCTATCCATTCTTCATACATAACTTACTGTTATACATGCGTAACCATATGACCAATAGCTAAATTTCTGGGGAATGAGATTGACCATCAGTCATTAGTTTGTAAAGTTGTTCTGGTTATTCTTATCTACAATAAGGTGATAAAACCATCTACGCTCTTCTGGGTCTTATACATTCCTACACACTATATATTCAACATTGTAACCCATATAGAAGTTCTGTTGTCATTATTAGTTGGTGCGATGACTGAAGTGTGTGTGTTTAGGTCGACTGAGAAAGTAGGAACTCGCAAGAGCAGGGATATAATGCCTCACCAACTCAGGTGACTAGGGCATACCAACTCATCGTTTACCGCAAAGCGAGGTGTTAACCAACCTAGTTTTGCGCTTGAAGAAAAGGTTGTGAGACAAATAGTTGCATCACTCCATGAAATCTCTGACTGTTTGTATGAGCCGTTTAGGAAAATGTAGACTTCCTAGTTGAGCTAGCTTCACTTGACAATTGAAGTCGAATGTTGGCAACTGTAGGTGATATGGCTCAAAATTGATCTCAGTTATCCACATACATCCGCATGTCATCGTCATATCGAGCCTGGTTATGACTTTCTACTACTTTTACTTCCATTCTTCCTCACTTCCGTCGTGATGTTATAGCAGTGTAAATCATTATGCCGTAATACCAGCCAACTGTCATATTAGCTGTTTGACTCTTCATAGGAATAGTTATGTTTCACTATATAATAATCAACCATTACAGTGTATTACCTCAGCACATTTTTCTTTCTCGTTCTTTTTCTCTCTCCAAAATACAATTCAAGGGAGTATCTGGGTAAACAGTTGGATTCATCTCAAGGTGCAGATGTCAAATCCACGGGAGTAAGAGTGAAATAGAACACCGGCTAACCACAATCCATGTTGATTAACATATCATCCTATATGTAGAATCAACGTGTGCATCGACTTGGCGACAAATTCAGAAAATACATATGAGTAGTGTCTCAGTAGTCATTGTTATGATCATTGTCAATATTTCTGCTTTGTCTGTATTCTGTATTTGTTTATTTATTTCCAATGTGTCACCTCTGTGATTTCTTTTGTATACACTCTATGTATACAACCAATCAAAAGCATAATATATTTTCCTCAAGCTGCTTTATCGAAATGGTCCTCTTTTGTTAATTGTCTTTGATTCCTTCTCTTCTCGAGCAATTCACTAATCTTTGATTGTTTCTCTCTTTTCTATTGCGTATACAAATAGAAAGACTGACTAAGAGTTGGGCCTTGATTCTGAATAATTTGCTTTGTTAGTGTCATTAGCTAGTCGCACTGGGGATGGGGGGCACTCTAGAACCGTTTAGGGTCCTGGTTGATGAACTCGAAATAGGGGCGAAACACCGCAATTTCTTTATATTCAGTGTTAACTAGAGTTAAACTGATTTTATTGCTGTTATTTACGATACCAATTCCGTTTGTGTTCCTAAACTGCTTATATGCATATGAATCCTGGTAATCAAGCTTAGTGACGACCGTTTATTACGTAACACAATGGTTCACTGTACTCGTCAAGTGTTACTAAGTATTGTCATTTGAGAAAACATTTTGTCAAGAAAAAAGTGTATGTTTTGACCACATCAAACACGTATGCGTATTACGGTGTGCAGAAAGATTGACAAAATCTCCATAAGAAGTTCCATATACTTGAAGCCTTTAACAACCAATCGCTTTGCTTCGTAATTTCAGGAGGAAAGATGTGAACCAACGTGTAAGTACCAGTTTGTTTGAAGAAACGAAGCATCAATAAAATTTTTAATCTAGTAGGCCTGAAAATAACCAAGGCCATTGTAGTATTTATATATTTTGTAATTTATACATACCGTTGATGTTGTAAATACACTTTCAGTTACCACCTTTTCTATTTTTGGAGAAATTGATTGATTAGCAAGGCGAGGAATTTTAAGGTTATTGTACATGTGTCCACACATTATACATAAATCAGACTATATCTAACCACTGGTAAAGATATATAAAAGTAGCGACGGGGATGGGATATGGCAGTTCATCCTGCTGTGAACTAAAATGATCACATGGAATAAGTTCGCTGGAATATTAATATCCGTTGACATTTTTGTGGTCACATTGAAAAATTCACCGGTAGACTTTGATTAATACGCATAACTTGACAACATCAAAATACACAGAGTTGGTTGTGAACTGTTTGTCTAACAGTCTCAATAAATAACATTTAGCAGACTGAAGAAACTCCAAGAAATATCTATCCTGACGTGCAGAGAATAATTAGCGACCCCTAACTGATGAACTACTCTGTGTCAAGTAAACTGCCTGGAATGAGAAAACCTAGGAAAGGTATTTCATATAGCAGGTTGAAATTCATCATGGACTGATATCAATTGGAGAAGCATTTGAAACCTGGGAGCACTGGACAGCTGTTTCTACCTAGTATGGGACTCCTCAGCAGTGCGCACCCATGACCTCACTGTCTATGGGTCGAACCTATGACCTTCAGGTTCGGTGGCCAGCACGTTACCACTGTGTCGGAATCCAAGAGTCCATATTTCCTACTTCTGTCAGTCTGTGGTGGAGACTACCTCAAAACTAAAAACCCCACAACGAATTCCAACCTAAAATCAATTAATAAATTATTATTATTATTTGTCGCTTGGGTTCCTAATGGAACATGGGGCTTCAGTAGCACGTCTCCAATGCGCTCTATTCTCCGAAATCTTTTGAACCTGGCTCCACGACAGCCCACAAGCTCTCATTTCCTCCTCCATGTCACCCTCACCCCGGATGCCCAACTCGGCGTTTCCCATCGGGGTTCCACTCGAGGGACTGGCCTGGCTCGTGATGTCCACAGTCGGCCTTCTCAGTGTATGCCCAATCCATCTCCACTTCCTTACAGTGCATATTTGTTGAGTGATAGCTTCTTGGTTGGTTCGTTCCCAGAGTTCCTTGTTGCTTATTCTTTCCGGCCATCTGATCTTCAGTATCGCGTGAGCGTAGGCGGCGGCTGTTGATGAATATCTGTAGTTTGTTGGAAATTCTTTTCGTAATGCGCCAAGTCTCTGAGCCATACAGAAGCACTGATTTGACATTGGTGTTGAAAATCCGGATCTTGTTCTTTATGCTGAGTGCAGCAGATCTCCACACTAGTTCCAGGCAAATAAACGCCTGTCTTGCTTTTCCGATTCTGACTTCGACATCCTCGTCAGTGCCGCCTCTAGTTGAAACAGTGCTTCCTAGATAGGTGAAAGAGGCTTCTTCCCTTAAGTTTCTCCCGTTGATGGAGATTGCAGCTTGTTGTTGGTTGGGTATCTTCATCACCTCTGTCTTCTCTATATTCACTTGAAGTCCCGTCTTCCCTGCCTCTTCTGACAACTTGTTAGTTTTCGCCTGTAGGTCTTCAAGTTTGTGTGACATCAGACACAAGTCATCGTTGGCGAAATCCAAATCTTCTAGGTTCTTTTCCGCGGTCCAGCGTATCCCCCTCTTCTCGCTCCTCACGATTTGTTGCATGATCCAGTCGACCACAATCAAGAATATCATGGGTGATAGTAGACAGCCTTGTTTCACTCCTGTCTCCACTTTACTCCAAAGGCATCACTGAGCTTCCCATTGTGAATTACTTGGCATGTGGCATCTTCATATAGTTGTTGAATGAGGCTGACAAAGGTTTGTGGTATTCCGTAGTTTCGAAGCAACTGCCAAATTACTTGTCGGTCGACGCTGTTGAAGGCCTTTTCGAAGTCAATGAAGTTGAGGTAGAGAGCTGATTGTCATTCTATGCTCTGTTCTATGATGATGCGTAGAGTGGCGTTGCAATTTGGTCTGCACATGATTTGTACTTCCTGAATGCAGTCAGCCTGTTCTGGTCGTATTTTTGAATCCAGTGCATTGTTTAGTCTCTCTTCAGGATGATGCGACTTAACATTTTGCTTGCATTGGGTGGACAGGAGAGTGATTCTGCGCCAGTTCTTGCAAACACTGAGGTCTCCCTTCTTCAGTAGTTTGACAAGATAGCCCTTCTTCCAATCAACCTGCAGGTACCTTCCCATCCTTCCACACCTTCTGCAATGGTGGTGTGAGCATGTCTGCTGTTGTCTCTGAGTCTGTTTTCAGTGCTTCTGGCGGGATTCCGTCTGGTCTTGCTGCTTTCCCACATTTCAGTAGCTTTATGGCGTTCAGGACTTCCTTTTTTGTTGGAGGATTTGTGTTCACTTGTAGTTCATCGGCTGGGCTGTGGGTGGTATTTCTGGACGAAGTGCAGGTGGTGGCGGTGGTCGATTCAAGAGCTTCTTGAAGTGGTTGGCCCATCGTTTCCTTTGTTTCTCTTCTTTCGTGATTATATTCTCTTCATCATCTTTTATTGCTTTCATCTGCGTTGATCTCTTCCCAGATAGTAACCTGGTTATTTGATACAATGTTGTCAGGTCTCTCCTACCAGCAGGCAGCCTGTTCTGCTTCACTTGCCAGTGTTTCGTAGAAGTGTCTTTTGTCTTTGCGTGCACTGTTCTTCACTTCTTTGTCCAGTGTTTTATACATTGTACTCAGTTCCTCTTGTCGTTGTGCATCCTTGCACTGCACTGGTTTATCTTCTGCTTCACCATCCTCCTCTCCCTATCCTATCAGCTTCCATGTATCCATCAAGAGCCATTCCTTGTCTTGTCTCTCCTTCTTCCTTCCTAATACAGTCATGCAGGTTTCTTTCCACATCTCTTCCAAAGACTTCCAGTGTTCTTCCACACAGGTTTCTTCAGGGATGTTGCTCGATATCTTCCATTTCATCTTGATGGCTGCCTTGAAGGTTTCCTTTGTAGTTTCGACCTTCAGTTTCCGAGTGTTGTACTTGAACTGTGGTCTATCACCAGCTTCCTTGAAGGCTTTAAACTTGATTTGGAAGGTTCCTTGCACTAGATAGTGACATGTCTGAACCTACATCTGCTCCTCTTCTTGACCTTGTGTCAAGTAGGCTGACTGCGTCTCCACTTTCTTCATATTGAGATAAAGTCGATTTGATTTTTAGTGTGTCCTGGTGTCTGGTGAAATCCATGTCGCCCGCTTTGTGGATATCCTTGTGCTTGAACACACTGCCTGACTCCAATCACCAAATCGTTGAATGCACAGAATTCTGCAAACAATTTTCCATTCTCGTTCATCACCTCACCGAGTGCTTCTCGACCCATGGTTAGTTCTCTTCCTGTGTTGTCCGCTCCAAGTTTGGCATTCATGTCACCCCACCCATTAGAATTTTGATATCGCCAACTGGGTGGGGTCTTGTCCAGTGCTGATTGCAGTTGTCTGTAGAATTCCTCCTTTTTCTCTTGCTCTGCATTATTTGTAGGTGCCTGGTGTAGCATTGTATGATTGTGACCTTTCTTCCTTTTGAGTTGAATCTTGCTGTCATGATCCTGGGGGAGATTGGTTCCCACTGCATGAGAGCCTTCGATACTGTTGGGAACATCAAGATAGCCACTCCGGAACTCAGTGTGCTCGTGGTTGTCATCTGGGTGACAATATTGGAGTAGATTATTGATTCTCCAGTTGACAGTTTGGAGAGTCCACTTCCACTCCATCTACTTTCGCACATTCCAAGCACTTCAATGTGGTACCTTCTCATCTCGTTTGCAATCTGGGCTGCCTTGCCAACTACGTTCAAACATGGTGCAGACATTCCATATCGCCACGTTTACTTTCGCTTTCATCGAGGGAGAGAAGACACATCGGTCAATTGGGTTCTCGAAGGCTTTCACCAACTGGCGTCATTTCGCCTCTCCGATTCCAGCGAGGAATAATTTTGTTTTCATTTTTTATATTTTGTTTGTGCTTTGAAGTTTCTTTAGCGGTTAGATTTGTTTTACGGTGTAGGGTTGCTGTCCCAACCTTCCCTCTCTACCCGGGTTTAGGACCGGCTAGTAACTAGTGAACTAGTTAACCAGGCGAGGTTAATTAATAAATATCCACATAGAATTAGTCTCACGCTCATTGGTGACTAGCTTCGACATGTGATTCCTGAGGTTCCAGTGAGAAGTGATATGTAGAGTTGAACATAAGGACAGTTACTCAACGAAAACCTTGGGTGGTGTTCGCGCTATATCGTGAACTGACAAGTTGAAAATATGGACCACTGGATTCCGACTCGCCGTCCCAATAAACGGTGGTCACTGGGTCGAATCCTGTTGCTGCAAAAAATTTTCATTTTACCTTCAAACATCACTCAATATGAATATAAGTCTACTAAATCATGCCTATCTCAGATAGGCAAACTG